TAATTAGCTGATATTCTTAGAAGAAGGAGGACAGGTGAGGAGCAGAAACAGAAACAAATGTGAGAAACACATGAGAAGGAGTAGGGGGAGAATGAGAAGAAAAATCAACCAGGGAAAAAACAGCTCAGGGTGCAGATAAGGAGCAAGGGAGGGTAGTGAGTAGCTAGAAAGAAACTCCGTACTGAAAGGGAGCAGGGTGTAGACAAAGGGGCCCTGGTAGGTCTGCCATTTTTAAGAGTGTTTTGTTTGGTAGTGAAAATATTTTTTGTTGTTGTTATCTTTTTCTCTGTACTATCTACCTTATTTCTTTAAGTTGGGAAGCCATTTTATTATTGGGTATTAACTATTTATGATAAAAATTACTTATTTTACAGTAAGCTAAATCCACACTTGAACCTTTTGTCTCTCCATCTCTACAGCAGTAGTTCCTTTCTTTTCCCTAGCATTCCTTTTAAAATTTCTTAAGAAATCCTAATCTTCAGCTTTACCCTACTTGGTATTTCCTACCATGACCTGGAAATTCAGGGCTTTCCCATTAATGCAGCAGTTCTCAAACTTTTCTTTAATCTCAGGATTCCTTTACACTCTTAAAAATTACTGAGGACCCCAAAGAATTTTTGTTTATGTAAGTTTTACTACAAATATTTACTATTTTAGAAATAAAAACTGAAAAATTTTCTAAATATTTATTTATTCATTTATTTAAAAATAAACCAACAATGTATGTAACATAACATTTTTATGAAAATTGACTATATTTTTCCAAAAGAAAACAAAATTTAGTGAGAATGCTATTGTTTTGCAAATGTCTTTAATGCCTAGCTTAAGAGAACACACCAGGTGCCCCTCTGCTTCTGCATTGAATCTGTCATGATATCACATATCAGGTGGCCCCTGGAAACTCCCCCGGATCCTCATGTAAGAATGAGGGTGCGGATGGCATACAACCTCTTGGTATTCTTATGAAACCAGTCTGACCTTGTGGATCCCCTGAAAAGGGGTGCATACACTGCATTTGAGAACAGCCGCTTCAGTGGTTGGAGGCTGGCACTGTCCTCATGGTTTGAATCCGATCACTGGGGACCTTCTCAAGGAGTGAGGACATTGTCTCCACAGGAAGGAAGACTCTGCCTTGCTTCTGCTTCTTTGTTTTAACCTTTGTTCTCATCCCTTCTTAAACTTTGATTCTTTTTCTCCCATTTCCCCTTCTTTTTCCTAGTCTGTACTTTGTACTCCTCATTTCTTAGCTTTTCTAGGATCTAAAGCAATTCTACTCCCCAAACTTGATATTGGAAATCAAACTTTGAAAAATATTTCATTCTCTGTTAGATAATCTATTTACTAGGGCCCAGCTATTGGCCTCATGGCTTCCAGTGCTATTGGTTTGAATCCTTTCTTTATCTTTTTTATTACACTCTATTCCATTTATTTATTTATTTATTTTGATGTTTTGAGTACATTTTCTTCCTCTGAATTGAAATTTGATAGAAACTTCATGACATACGTTGAAGACTTGACTGTTTTGTTTTTGAGATCTAATTTAATTACCTCTCATCATCTTTCTTCCAAGAGTAATTTTTATATTTTATCAATGAAGGTGACTTTTGCCTTATATAAAAGTTTGAAGTTATAAAAACAAGTGCTAAGATTATTTGTTAATACAAACTTTAATTATACTTTTTAATATTAACAAACAATAAACTAATTTATTAAAATTTATGTAAAGCTTTGTAATAACAGAGTTATTCAAAAGGTCATAACTCTGTTATGTAGAATTCTTCTAAAAGAATTTGATATTTCGATGACAAAGTTGTTAGCTTACATATATATCTTCTAAGCTGATGTTTATTATGCCATTTTTTTTTTGCTTATTTGAGTTCTTAAATTATTTTTTTTTCTGTCTTCACAGTCACAAACTCGCAGAACCCCAAGTCTTTCAAGTCTCAATTCCCAGGATTCCAGTATTGAAATCTCAAAGCTTACCGATAAGGTGCAGGCTGAGTATAGAGATGCTTACAGAGAATATATTGCTCAGATGTCCCAGTTAGAAGGGGGTACAGGGTCTGCAACAATTAGTGGCAGATCTTCTCCACATAGTGCGTATTATATGGGCCCGAGTTCATCAGGGGGCTCTATTCATTCTAATCTGGAACAAGAAAAAGGGAAGGATAGTGAACCAAAGCAAGATGATGGAAGGAAGTCATTTTTAATGAAGAGGGGAGATGTTATAGATTATTCATCATCAGGGGTTTCCACTAGTGATGCCTCACCCCTGGATCCTATTACCGAAGAAGACGAAAAATCTGATCAGTCAGGCAGTAAACTTCTCCCAGGCAAGAAATCCTCAGAAAGGTCAAGTCTCTTCCAGACAGATTTGAAGCTTAAGGGAAGTGGACTGCGCTATCAGAAACTTCCAAGTGATGAAGATGAATCTGGCACAGAAGAATCAGATAATACTCCACTGCTCAAAGATGATAAAGATAAAAAAGCTGAAGGGAAAGTAGAGAGAGCGTCAAAGTCTCCGGAACACAGTGCTGAGCCAATTAGAACCTTCATTAAGGCAAAAGAGTATTTATCGGATGCCCTCCTTGACAAAAAGGATTCATCGGATTCGGGAGTGAGATCCAATGAAAGTTCTCCCAATCACTCTCTTCACAATGAAGCAGCTGATGATTCCCAGCTTGAAAAGGCAAATCTCATAGAGCTTGAAGATGAAGGCCACAGTGGAAAACGGGGAATACCCCATAGTTTGAGCGGCCTGCAAGATCCAATCATAGCTCGGATGTCCATTTGCTCAGAAGACAAGAAAAGCCCTTCTGAATGTAGCTTGATAGCTAGCAGTCCTGAAGAAAACTGGCCTACGTGCCAAAAAGCCTACAATCTGAACCGAACACCCAGTACTGTGACTTTGAACAACAACAGTGCTCCAGCTAATAGAGCCAATCAAAATTTTGATGAAATGGAAGGAATTAGGGAGAATTCTCAAGTCATTTTGAGGCCTGGTTGCAGTTCCAACCCAACGGCTATTCAGAATGAAAATCTGAAAAGCATGGCACATAAGCGAAGCCAACGTTCAAGTTACACAAGGCTCTCAAAAGAGTCTGCAGAGCTCCAAGCAGTAGCCTCTTCTGATAGTACAGGTTTTGGGGAAGAAAGAGAAAGCATTCTTTAAGAAAAACAAGCAAAAGTAGAATAGTATTACTGTACCCTTATGACAAAATTATCCTGAATTTTGAATTCATCCATTCTTGTCACCTTTATACATTTCATTCGTAGGTAGATAGTAGACCATAAGGCCTTTGGTCAAAGAGATGTGTGCAATAGAGGAAAGCATAAGGAGTGATGGGTCACCAGCCTCTACTGTCTTTGTAATTAGAAGCTTAAAACCTCACTACTATTATTATAACTTTCATTGGCACATATATCATAAATTTTTTGAGACAAGATCTGAGTACGAGGATAGGTCAGAAATATTTTACTAAATTTAGAGGGCTTAATTTGCCAAAGAAAATAAAAAGCTAGGGACCCCTTTTGTAGAACATTCAGTCATCAAACACTTCAAGGAAGACATGATGTTAGATGAAGCAGAAGCAAAGTTTGCTCTTATAGGGTTTAATCTAGGTAAGACTTTACACGTTATGGAGTAGCACAGAGACTGAATTGAAAACCACTGTTCTATATAATAGACAAATTGCTTATCAAAGAGGTTTAAAATATTAAGTAGAAAATATATAATGAAGAGGGCTTTAAAAATGGGTAAGAAAGTGCGTCAGCAGTACCCAAAGGAGCATATTTGGGCCATTATGAGCTGTGGGGGTGGGGGGTGAGCCTGATAACCTCCATGTTACCTGGGTGTTCTTCTCTCCAAATCCCAGACCTGGCTTCCAACACCATCCATCTGTGCCGAAGAAGCCACCCTGGTCTGTTCTGCAATTCTTTTAATTTGTGCGCCCAACCTTTCTTAGCTTAGCAATGAGAAAAAGAAAACATGAATTCTTTCTCTGGAGAATCAGGGAGAAGGATAATAATAGGCACTAATAAATATTTGTGGAATGAGTGAATGAGGAAATAATTACTTCAAAAAGGTTAGTGACAAATGCAAAAGACAAGGAAGTATTTAATCAGGTAAAACTAAATCATTGCCTTCCATACCAGGGCAAGTTTATCTGCTTCATCTGTTCTAAATCAGCATGTTAGTTCTGGGGGAGGATTGTAAGAAAGGAGATAATTTTTTTTTTTTAAAGTTTAAAAACATGTAACAAAGCAAGGATAAAGAAGAGATAAAGCTGGTGTGATGATAAAACTTTATACTTTCCATTTATTCTTAGATCACATTTAAATACTGTATGGACTGGAAATGTACCCTGTCATCATGCATTGAAATTGTTTTGTCACTTTAACATAGCTTATTTATGTAGAATTAATTCTGGCAGTTTATCCTAAATCACAGATAGGATTGTAGATGATGAGATTGTAGATGTGAGATTAACTAGATTCAGTGCTGTGTTGGCAATGTTTATCACTTAATGGATTTTTATTAATATGCTGATTATTTATTTGACCAGTCATTGTGCTGGATGGTTGCTCTTTTGTGTTTCATTGCTTTGATGTTTGAGTGTTTCTGGCATTTTCATAAAGTGTTTATTTTGCATGATCTTTAACAAATGTTTTAAGCAAATAAAAAATGATAGGATGTTGTTGACATTATATATTGAAATGTTAACATTTTAATATTTATAGTGTTTATTAGTTTGCAATATTGTATGATTAGTAATTATTTCAGAGGCAATATTTTGTTCTTTTTCAGGTGAGTAGTTGCAGCTTGGTATCATTGCAGCACAGTCTTTATACTGTTTGTGAAATTAATACTAGAGTATTAAGTGTACAAATAGATTCAGAAAACAATAAAAGAATTGCATGCTATTCTGACTCATGAATTTTTATTTACTACAGAGATGATTCACAGTTTGATTACAAATGAAAAAGTAACTTGTATGTTTGTTTTGTCATATGTCTAAGGTTGGTTAAAGATTTTTAGGTTAATGTATAGTCATGCAGTTGGCAGAAGTGTTCTGAACTGCTCCCAAGTAGTCTTTGTGAGAAAACTTGGCTCTGAAGTTCCCAGTGCCTAAATAGTGCTTTCAGGGAGCGTTAGTGCTCAGTAGCTCTGTACGGTGCATTTCTATAGCCATTAAGAGGTGATTTATCCAGCCCCTTAGAGGAGGATATCAATTTGTTACATGAACATATTAGAAAAGTTTGCTTTTTCATACTGATACGGAAATTGACAAACCAGAGGGGGTTTTGAGTCACACCATCATCCCTCTGAATCTGTGCGTCTGTGCGTGTGTGTTCTATATCTATTTATAATACATAGCACAGTCTGATTCTCACATACGCAAAACCCTGCTTTAAGCTGGGTGAAAAATGATAGAAAAGAAAATCGGTGCTGTGATTTTGCTAATCTCTTCGATTCTGCCTCATTTGGAGTCCTTTATTTCACAAACCATTTTACCTTCACTTTAAGCCACAGATAGTTCTGTTAATGTAGCCAGATCCATTCACCTTGGCCTAAGTAGTGCCACCTATGACTGCAGCTGTTTCTCAGAAGATTAGAAATGAAAAGAAGCTGTTGATATCTTCGAATTGAGACAACTTTCATAGTGCTGGATGCTGAAGGATGAGCTTCCCAACAATGAGAAATTTAAGCATTTGTAATGGAACCAACATTTTCAATATTAAAAGGAAAATTTGTCTTCATGTTATATTTTACTTACATGTGCTATATAATGGTCAGAACAATTTTAATTACCTAGCCAAGTAATTTTTGAAACGTATTTGATAAAATTCTCATTTGAAGTTGGGGAAGGTGTAATAAAGTTAACTTCGTTGGTAAACATTGGAGACTGGATATCTGGGCTCCTTTATTCCCAGCTTCTCTTCTGCATTTATGCTGACACTTGGCAGAAGAGAAGCAAGCGGCGAGACTGGTTTGGGGTAGGGCAGGGGCATGGGCAGCCCTGGGGGGGCCTCTGAAACGATTGCATTTTGGACTTCTAGGTTGTGTTGCTCCCTACCCTTCCCTACCGCAGAATGTTAAGCATAGGCCATCATTACACAAATGAATTGAGAAATTGAAATTTATAGATAGCAGCCAGCACTGGATGGTTTTTAATGGCTCCTCACTTCACAAAGGTTGAGAATCCCTGGTTGAGATTGATTAAGTAGAAAGAGAATTTAAGATCTTACATAATTTTAAACCCTTTCATGCCTAGGAAGAAAATGCTGTCCTCGAGATAGATAGCTCTTCAGAGGATCCAGCTTAAACTAAGGTATGTAAAAAAATCAATTTTCAAAGTCAACTAGTTTTAATCCAGCTGTTGAAAAACAGTCTCATTAATTAGAGGATTTATATTCTCACCACTTTAACCTATAGAGTTAAGGAAGAAACACCTAAGATGATTGCTAGAAATTACTGCTGTCACCTACTGGGTCAAAGCTTTTTAAGTAAAATGATTAGTAAACCACAGCCTTGGCTAACACCACCAGCAGTCTGTTGTGCCACAGGTCCTCGCTGTGGGTGGAAGGTATCACAACGAGGGCTTTCTGGAGCTTGGAGCAGAAACCTCTTTGAATGGGTCCTTAAGTGGCTGCAGGATGAAGACTATCCTGAATTTCCAGCACGGGGAGGCGTTTTGGGACATAAAGAATTTATGAGAATAAAAGGGTCAGTCAGGAAGGAAGAGCAATTACATCCAAACTATTAGTAGGATGACTCTTTAAGAGTCAATAAAAACCTAAGTGGGGTGAAGACCAACCTAAGTTAGCAAAAGCATGAATTACATACTGTTGTAAACTAAAGGCAGTGGTACTGTGTCAGAATACAAAAAATACTCTGAATCTGCCTGTGGGGTATCATCAGCAGTCATTTGTTTACAAAAAACACACAAGTTCTTAATTCTCTTTGGTTAAATATGCTTTTTGTAGTGTCATTTGTTGCTTTGCCTCCCGTGGATTTGTCACCCCTCTTACCCTGGGTGACAGAGCCACAAAAGATTACTCAAAGCCCATCTCTTCTGAGCAGTGAGAAGTCCCAAAGGGGTTAATCTCCCGGAACCCTCTAGAGAGAGGCATTCCTTCCTTTGGGAAATTAACCACAAACTGGGTTTCTTGCCCCACATTTATTCTCCAGACCAGGAAGTTACAGGAAAAGAATATGGGGCTTTTGCTAAGTATAGTTTAACAAGTTTTGACAATAGAGGCTGGTAACATCAGTAAAACAAGCAAAGTGATATTCCATAATGCAATTTGCAAGAGGTTAAGTCAATCCAGCAACAAAAGCTTGATCTTAGCAAACATTCTCTCTCCCCACACCATTTCCCAGTATCTTTACATATCAATCAGTAACTTGTCTGTCCTTGAGCCAGCAACCTTGCTGTGCCACAACTCTCCATCCACATCAGAGACCCTGGCCCGAAGAAAGTTTCTTGTCTTTTGTAAGGTTAACATTTTTATATGTAATTTTAAAAAGTTAGGCTAAACCTGAAACGGTAGGGCTTTGCAGGCCCTGTGAAATACATTTGCTTTATAAGTGTTGGTATATTCCACAGTCATTTATACTAGTCATAAGTCTTAGGAGCCCTTTCTTAGTTTTGCTGGGATTTAACAAAACATGGAATAACATATCTAACTGAATTACTAGAACTTGACTAAATGAAATACTTTCAAAAAATATAGAACCATATTATTCAAATTAAGAAGCTGTTTGAAATAACTAAGATCTTCCTGATTATTCACTATCATTTTCTAATTTTAACATATTTTATACTTATTTACCTCGTTTTCTTTCAAGGCAAGCAGGGCTCTAGTTCTTAGTACCCTGCCCATATCCCCAAGCAACGTTGCTTTCTCATTTCTCCCGACAATTCTGTTAACTTCTCGCAGTTGGCTTCTTCACCAAATGTGAGGAGTAAAGAAGATATGGCCAGCCATTCAGTAATCCTGCTGTCCAGTCAACTGCGGAAGAGAGATTTGCTCACCTCTACTGCTTTTATCTGTTCTCAGTACTTGTAGAATTTAAATTAGTTTTAATGTAGTGTTCCTTTTATGAAATTTTAGGTAAAATTCCAAATGTTTAGCCAAAAGCATGTAAATAAACTCTATATAACCTGGTATTTCATATCTTTTAGCATCTTCTTGGTCACATGTCTAATAAAATTGATTGTTATTTTCAAAATTATCATAGTTCCTGACACACTTTTTAGCTATGTTTCTGAGACTTTGTAGACTGTATATGGTTATACTTAATGTAAATTAAACTCATTTTTATTTTGAAAGAAATTATTTTCTTTTGAGTTCTTTGTGGTTTTCTCCCTCTATTTTTTACCTGGATTTTTTTCATTCTTTTTGTGTGTTGAGGCTTTTTTAGATTGTCATGTCCTCATTCTGTTTACCATAAAACATTTCTTAGTGTAGTAGAATGGGAGAGAACCTCAGGATTGCTTTTCGACCAAATCTTAGGTTTTAGATCACCAATGGGGCACTCAACAAATACTAAAGTGAGTGAATGCAGTGTATCTAAATGAGGGGACAAAACTAGGACAGTCTTCCCAGAAATCCTACACAGTGTTTTAAAAATAGTGAGGTTGTATGCCTCAACACTGTACATCTGTGCCATAGTTCCTTACAGGTCTCACCCTTCCCTCTCACTGTACACCCACCCTGTTCCCTGTCTGGCCCCTGGAACCTTTCCTGTTTGTGATTCCGGGAATCTTTCAAGGTGTAATAGCATCTTCATTAAAAACTCCCAGGGATGGATATCCGCAGCCCGTCTCGAAAGTGTCATTTTAAAGTGTTTCAAATGGGTATATTTTAAAATCCTTTTGTATACTTTAAACACTTTGTTTAGTACTTTGTGGAGATGCCCATTTTATAAATTAATGTAATTCTAGAATCAAAGTGGTTCACCTCTACATTTTACTTTAGGATATTGAAAATATTTTCAGGTATAACTTAGCCATGATGCACATGTTTTCTTTGAGCCCCAAATTGGGATACATCATTATAATGAGAATACTTAATATCGGGACCATCACAGAAAGTGTGAGATGGAGACTTACCCTATCTATAGCTCAGTTTTTCAACCTTCTTTTAGTAAGTTTAGTTATTATTTTCAATGACCTCCCATCACTGATCTCTATCATTCTCTGTCTTGGGAAGACCACTCTGATTAAGTTTGACCTAGAATAAGCATGTTAGATTGGGATTCCATACTGAGTATTTTATACATGAGTGGGCCATTATGTGTTGTGTGAAAATTTCTTTATTATGCTGAGGTTGGTTAACCAGCATAACATCAATCCCCAAATCTCACTGACTTAGTACATTTAAAGTTTGTTTCTTGTTCACGTAGTAGTTCAATATTACCTAAGTTCACATAAAGACTCAGGGACCCAGGCTCCTTCATTGTTGTAGGTCCACCATCCTCTGAGGCTCCAGAGGCCTCTGCACTGTCTCTACGCAAGGGTAGAGGGAGTGGAGGATCACATGGGAAGTTTGGATTGTGCAGACCTGGCACCCATGGCACTTTCACCCACGTCCCATTGGCCTTCCTCAGTCACAGGCTCCTGCTGAGCTGCAAAGGAGGCTGGGAAATTCTGTGTGACTGTGTGTCTTGGAGGAAGGGAACGTTTCAGGGAGCACATAGGAGTTTTTGCCACCTAGATGTTGACGTGGGTTGTCTATAGCCTATTAAACATGGTGACTTAGCTTTTATTAAACAGCAGTTAATTCTCTTTGTTGACATCTCTTAAATTTTGTGCACAGTTTTCTGATAGGAAAGACTGTTAAAATCATAACACCTGACTGGAAGAAAGGTTTTAGGAGAAAGTCGTTTTCAATAAGCCAGTTCTTTCCATACTTGTGAGAAGCTTAGCAAATTTCCAGTGTGGAACAGGTTAAAAATAGGGAAAAGAATAACATTTCACAACTCCTTTAGAATCCTTTTTATTCAGAGAACTCTCAGACCATCAAACTCACCCAGAATCTGCTTGACTTTTAAGATTGTATTATAAATATTTATAATGTAAAAAATGGCAATAGTGACTGGGTGGCATCTGCTTGTACCTGGGCGATGTGGTCTTGGGAGGCTCCTGACCCCAGTTTGTGCCCTTGTGCATGCTGGAAGCAGGGATTGATAGTTACCAGAAGCTAACCCCTCCTGAAGTGAGTGCTCTTCTCCCAGAAGAATAGCTCCCACCCTAGAAGCCAGTGGGGAAATTAGAGTTTATGTCTGCATTTTTGTTTTTAAGCAAACTCTTTTGCAGTCTAACTCTCTTGACTACTTTCCAGCTTTTTCATATCATAATTTCTTCAATTCTAAGATGCACTCTTTTTTCCACATTTTGATTTATCTGAAATTAGAATACGGTATGTCTTGCAATTAATAGAATTAATAAGTAATGTGTAGTTACACATCCTACAGTTGACGGTGTCTTGCTTAGACTTAATGAAATACGATATTTTAATATATGGCATGGTCATGCTGAGTTGCATCTTTAGCAATATTAATGGGCTGGTGGTTTATATAAACTGACTCCCGAAATTCACCATTTTATGTTGAATATTCATTTTATCCATATTCCTTGTCCTGTATTCATTTTGGATATTTAAAGTATTGTTACACTTTATTATAATAAAAATAGCTTACCACTTTTGAACACACATTGTGTGTCTGACAATTTTCTAAGACTTCTATATGCATTACCTAATTTAATCTTCTGACAGCCTCATAAAATAGTTGCTATTGTTCTCAATTCACAGATGAGAAAGTGAGACACAGAGAGGTTAAGCAATTCCCAAAGTCACACAGTTGTTGAGTGGCAGAGCCAGAGTTCAGGCCTGGGTGGTGTGGCTACAGAATGTCCACTCGTGATATGATATTTATCTTTATTGATCTTTACCAGTTAGGGATGAGCCACTTCTCACATTTTTCTAAGATGCATTTTAGTTTTAGCTTTATTTGTGTATCATAGTCATCGTCATTGTCCACTTGTTTTAAAATAGGATTTGGGGTTTCTCAAAGGACTATCTGCTTTAGAAAGATAAACTCTTAAAAGTCTATAGCCATGTGAGTTACATTGATAGAGGAAAAGAGTCTTGATTTATTTTTAATGTCAAACATCTCTGTTCCTGCTAATTATCTTGGAATAACATTCAATTTTTGGTTCAAAATCTATTGACTTCTTTTTTTCACGTCCCTCATCCCATTATTACTCATGGGTTAGATCACTGCAGTAAAGTCTGTATGTAATGTTGAATGTATTTGTCTTATTTGCAATCTTATTGTTACCCAGCTTTCATATACTTGCCCTTTTATATGTCTATTGTCAGTATTCTGTGTTAGATTTTTATGTCTATTGTCAATATACTGTGTCAGATAATCTTAAATAGCACTATGTGTATTTTTCTTTATACTCTATTATTGAACAGTATTAATACTTAGTAAATGTTAACAAATAAGTAATACATGTCTATTTAAAAAATTATTACTGTAGTAGATTTTTTTTTCTTTTCTTTTTTTAATGATTCTGGTCACTGTCTCTTAAGGAAGGAAGAAAAGAAAATAGGTAAAACAGGGACTCTTTTCCCTTTCATAATGACAGACCAGTCGCCAAAGCCAAGAAACCAGTAGACACATCAATGATAGTAGAAGACAGTGGATTGGGATGGTTTGGGGATATTTTAGTTATATGTTATCATCTGCCTAATAATTTGAGTGCTAACCATGAGCCAGACACTGCTATGAGTACTTCATATGGATTAACTCATTAAACTCTAATAACCCTATGAAGTAAATACTATTATTATTCCTAGTTGACAAATGAGGGGACTGAGATGCAAAAAAGTTATGACTGTTACATAACAATAATGCGTTTGATTTTTGTACCCGCCCTCTAAAACATTGGCATCATCATCATTATTATTATTATCATCATCTTTATTTTTGAGAATGAACATTCAGGAGTTTGAGACCCTTCCACTATTCAACGTCACCCAGCTAGTAACAGAACAAAAAGACCACCCCTGATTTTCTGATTTTCCTACTACACACCATACCGCCCCCTTAACTTTCCTCAGTGTCCATCCCTCTCTCGGACACAGGCCTGTGCTACTTCTATTTTCCAGGGCCATTGTAGAAAAGTTTAGTGGAGAGGATTAGGCATGTGGGAGTCTTCATGCTCAGCTGAATGGATCCCAGCTTTTCTCATCTCCTTTCTCCTTACTCTTCCCCGAAACACAGCAGCCTTCTTGCTGGGCAGTGAAGGAGTCCAGATCTGCAGGCAATCCTGGACCGAGGGCTCATTTGAGCTTTAAGTCCTTGTGTATCTCAAAATTCCTCTGCTGGCTACTCCATCCTCACTGATGAGATCTCCTAAACTGAACTCTACCTATTAGTATGAACAGAACTAACTTAAATGTATTTTAACTGCTGCTGTGTGTGTATTTAAATTTTACACTGCCAGATAGCTGAGCAAGCCCATCATTGAGGTGGCGAGTTGGTTGGTCAATAAATTTCAGTTGAAAGAATGTAGAGTGAGTCAGAAGGCTTGAATTATGGGCCTGGCCCTGGTATTTATTTTTCAGATGCCCATTTATTTGTCAACCTCAGTTTCTTCATTTATTAAAAATGAAAATGATGAAGGAAAGAGCATTATTCCTTTAATAATTAGTACTACTTCCCCGGTGCTTATTACATGTTAGCAACTTTGCAGACACCACCTCCCTAATCTTTAGGGAGCTAAAGGCTCAAAGCCTTGCCCACTGTCTTGCAGCAGTTACATGTGAGAGCAGGGACTTGAACTCCCGTGTGATATCACTGCCAGTGAATGCACCCCCTGCTACGTTTTCCTGCCTCTCCAACGTATGTGAACTTGGTGTTAGACATCCACGTGGTATTAAAGGGACAATTACAGGTATGCAGAGTGAAGAGAAAATTCTGTGGTCATTTAGTCCAGCTCTCTAGAGTTTGCAGATGAAATTATAAGTTGGTTGTGTTATTACAACATAGAATAACACAACAGCTATATAGAATTGCTACATAGCGTGGTTTGCTTTTATCCCACTTGTAGCTTCATTTGATATCTTCCTCTGGGTCACCTTCTGGCCAGCAGAATCCAGCTTTTTGTCATTAGACCTGTTGGGTGCTATCATTCTTTAGTTATGGACACAAACTAA